GCCCCCCCCCCCCCCCCCCCCCCCCCCCCCCCCCCCCCCCCCCCCCCCCCCCGCCGCCCCGCCCCCCCCCGCCCCCCCCCCCCCCCGCCGCGCCGGGGGGGGGGGGGCGGGGGCACTAAGAGACTGCAGGACCCTAGAGGCGGTGGCGCGGGGGACAGGTTTGCCGTGGTGCAGGACCTGCGGTAGAAGTTTGTCAGGGGGGGGGTACCCGAAACAGCTAGCCAGTTGCACCCCTCCCCCTCAAATGACATATGGGTATCAAGCTATCTCCCATCCCCGTACTGTAGCGTGGCGGTACGCCGAGGTCTGGTGACCAGGTTTGGCTTACTGCTCAATGAGCCTCGCCATCGCCTCGCCATCGCCTCGCCATCGTCTGGCCCACCATGATGAGATCATGGGGGCAGGTTACCGCATTGTCATCTGTGGTAAGTCATGTGGACGAAGCTAAACTTCGTTTTAAAACGATAGTGTTTGCCTCTCTAACCTGGAGATTAACCCGGCATACTAATTCACCACCTACCTACTGCATTAGACAAAAAAAGCCCTGTCAGTAAGACCAAGCTGTGTCTCCCCCCCGGAGGTGCCATCGGAACTCCCAAAAAGATCCCGCAAATGCGGCTTGATTTGCGAGAGGATTGCGTAGGATGATGCCGAGGTTGCGAACAAAGGAAACCCGGTCCGAAAGGGCGGAAGACACCACCCCAATCGTTCGACACCCCCATCCGGAGGCCGTGTCCTGGTCAGGATCCCACCGCCGTCTCCCCAGGCAGCGTAGGCGGCCGTGCTAAGAACAACGGCACGTCCCTGAGCCCCATCGCCTAGATAGAGAGGCAGAGCTGCCCTAGTATATCCCGGGCCCGGGCCGGTTCGGAGACTTGGAAAGCCGTAAACGTCGGCTGATGATAGTCGGTGTCTATGGCTAGAGGGCAGGCGTAGGGCAGGCGTTATGGCGATGCCTGGGTCGGCGGGGTTCTGGTAAAAGAGGGCTTTTTCTTGGCGGAAGGGTCTACGGCGGCGTACAACACGGAAGGGGACTAATTGGAGGAGTGGAGGGGAGTAAGTATTAGCAGTGTCTCAAATATCGTGTTCTTAAAAGTATTAACAATGGAGATAGTTTTGCATAGTGACTTGGATATATGACTACTGTTTGGCATCGCCTTCCCCTTCATGTTTCCGTTTTCTCCCTTCACTAGGCGTGGTTGGGAGAACATATGCAAAGACTCGATTGCAGAACGACTCGTATGGCTCGAGGGGGATAGTGGTGTGTTGGATCATGACAGGGACTTGGTCTCGAGGCGGAATGGCGGGATGAGCGACTTTGTTTAAGAAGGTCACCGGAATGTCGGCTGTGAATAGGTGGATTTGTTTGGGGTCGTTGCGGTAGGTGAGGAGCACATGGGACTAAGATGGCAGAGGACAGACGGCGGTTAGCTTGATGACGCTGGGATTAAGACTGGTAGACGTACTCGATGCGTTGATGAATTCTGGTCGGGCGAGTCGATTTGCCGCTCCAATGCTGCCTGCTGCGCCTGCGCAATGGCGATTAGGAGGGCTGCTATGTATAGGTTGTGGTGTTGATTTGCCGGGGTGACGGCCTTTATTCGATGTTCGAACAACCTCTAGGCTGGGCCACTTGTTTGCCAAGAGTTGTTTGGCAGTTCCAAGGCCAACGCCTGCTGGCGCATAATGTACCTGTAGTTGGTGTATGCGACGGTCAGAGGGCTGTCCGAGTCGGAACATTGGTCTCGAGGGGAAAGGGCGAGACATGGAAGTTCGGTAACGCGGCGCCGGTCGAAATAAAAGCTGAGGGGTTTTCTGTCGAGGAAGGTGGGGTCATTAGCCAGGGCTGAAGATGGTTGCTGATAAGAACAGCTTACTTGGTTGCGACGAGAGGGGACTGGGGAGAAGCTAGTAGCTTCTGCATAGCACTCTGTTTCATAGCGAACGAGTAGCTAGAAAGTAGCCGATGGATGATTTTGGAAATCCTGAGTCTGTGGTCAGGCTTTGATCCATGGTATGTTGCCTGAGGCGCTTGAGCGGTTTCATCGAAGAAGCATTTCTGACCAAGAGGTCCCTGGGATTGGTGCGCACTAAATCATGTACCGACAGAAGGGCAGGGGAGATAGCAGGTGCAATTGATGGACATGGCTTTGATTGTGACAACGATGCTGGCTCTTGGGACGCCATCCTTGATTGTGACGTGATGTTTTTGTTTTGAAGTCGGGACAGAACATTTGTCCAGTTATTGCATGTGTCACGTGGATTGTTCTAGCAGCCTGTGCGTCAGCGGCGTCTCCGAAAACGCGACAAAACATGAGGGGTCCGTCGCTTTGGCCAGATTGTCCTCCTCACACGATCCTTCCACTTCGAAGTCCAAATGTCGCGATTCGAAACGTTTCCTCTGTTGGCTGGCGCCATCACGCTCTCAGAAGCCTTGGACGACGAAACTGATGTTCTCCGAAAGCTATCCTACCCCGAAAAACGGCTAGATTTCTACCAATATCTTCATTCTCATGCTGGCGAAATCGAAAGCATCGTATCGCATCACCTTGGGGTCTCCAGAGACTCTTGCCGAGCCCCATGGGTCAATGAATGGGTCCACGGGAGCTTCAACGTTTGCATTCCGATATACGTCCATGCCGAAAAAAGGGTCGTCATCCGGTTCCCTTTGCCCTACAAGATAGGCGAAGTGACGAACCCAGGCAATGCTGAGGAGAAGTTCCGTTGCGAGGTTGCCACCTATGCCTGGATACAGTCTCATTGCCCTTCAATTCCGATTCCGCGCCTCTGGGGGTTTTGCTTTCCGGGTGGATCAAGTGTAAGGGGCCCGAGTCGGGACTGGTAATATTGACGTTAATGAGAATCACGTCCTTAGTTCACAGCCATCCCTCAAGCGCCACTCCTTTCGCGGCTGGGCTGGTACATGCGACGGTCAATCCGTTGGATCCTCGGGTGGCCTGCTATTTCCAGCTATGTCATCCATCCGCACCACCAGACACTCACTTCTGGATACATGGTGATGGACTACGTGGAAAATGGACGCATGCTGTCTGCTACTTGGGACACCGTACACAACGATGTCAACAAACGACTGGTCCTCTACCAAGACATATCTCGAATCATGCTTTCACTGGCACAGGTCCAGTTCCCTCGAATTGGTTGCTTGACAGTGGATGACTACGGCGTAGTTTCCTTGGCAAATCGACCACTGGGACTCCATCTCCACCAACTTGAGAACGACGAGATACCAACGGGGATCCCGCGAGGTCTAACCTACGCCACCACTGATACGTACTTGATGGATCGACTGTCATGTCATGACAATCGGATCCGCCACCAACCGAATTCGATCCTCAACCAATCCGACGGGGAGTCGCAGCTCTCTACTTTGACCATCATGCGCGCTCTCATACCGCATTTCACGCTGAAGGAAAGGAGGCATGGTCCTTTCATTCTCATGCTCACAGATCTCCACCCAAGCAACATATTCGTGGATGAAGATGGGCATGTGACGTGCATCATCGACCTTGAGTGGGCATGTACGTTGCCAGCGGAGATGCTGCAGCCCCCTTACTGGTTGACCAACAGAGCCGTCGATCAGATAACGGGCGACCATCTGGTTGACTACGGCGAACGACACGAGGAGTTTGTATCTGCGTTCCAGGTGGAAGAGGAGGCTTCTGGGAGTGTTGCTTCCTACGCTGAGGTGATGAGGAACAGCTGGGATCGAGGAGGCTTTTGGTACTTCAACGCCATCGAAAGCTTTAGCGGCTTCTACAGTCTGTTCCTGCAGCACATTCAGCCCAAGTACGGTCCAGAAGCTACAAAGGGTTGGAAAGAGTTTGAGCGATTAGTCACGCCGTACTGGGCTGTCGGAACAACGAGGTTCATCGAGGGTAAGGTCAAGGAGCGGGAACAGTATTTGCAGCGATTGAGGGAAGTCTTTCAGCGAGCCAGCGACGGTGGCAGGATAGAGGCATAGAGTTTGCATAGACATTAGCCGAGTTTGCATCCTAGGTAGGCATACGAACAGCAATAAAATGTACATGTCAAAGTGACGCTTGGAAGCAGACCCTGCTATTCGGTCGTGTATCTGAGACAAAATGTGAGATTCTGCGGCCTGATAGAGTCGACTGGCACGTCGCTTAAGCTGTTTAATGCCGCGGCGGGTGGGAGTATTGCTGCGATGAGACTCTGTCGGCAGCCCTGAGCGGATTGCAGATTGGCGTTGGCTGAGACAGCGGCCCGGATGAGCGTCACGGTAATCGCGACCATATGGAGCTCTCATCTCGCTGGAGAAGAGATGGCGATGGAGTGACTGTCACGAAGGCGTTCGTTAGCTCTGGAACGAAGGAGGCCGTGGCTAGGACATAGGAAGTGAGCCTCCGTTTACACCATGGCCGCGACTAGCACCAGGACGTCAGGTATCGGCCATGTACCATATTTTTGTGACTTTCGCTTGGTTGGGGGCATTGGCAGGAGGAACCGCGTCTAAGCCTCATGTATTACATGTCGAGTCTCCCTCCCCGACCTCCTGCTCTCCTTCCTCCAGAGCCGTGCCACTTCATGACAGAGGTAGGTAAATGATCGGGCTGCCAAGGTAGGTAAATCGAGGTAAATTGAGGAGCGAGACCCTGGCGTACCACAGTGCCACGCGAAGTCGTGTCTGCGGGACAACTCGGCGATATTCCGATTCCGCGTCACCCGGTGGTCCCGCTTCCGTGGTCTTTCTTCTGTCTCTCGTTGCCAATGGCATGTTATCGTTAAAGCGTGGCTTGAAGCGTTGTCCACATCACTGCACTCCCACGGCGATGACCACCGCTGCCTGTGGCCCCTATTTCGTTAGGCCAGTTGGTCAAGCGTAGCCATGGCCATGTTTCGCTGCATGCATTGTCCATCGGAAGTCAAAAACAAAAGGGAACGCGAGGAATTCTATCGAGGACAGGGAGAGGGGAAAGGCGGCACACCCAAGGTGATGAATGATACGGAGAAATAAGGACAGAAATGTAGGCTAGAATTGATGTGACGATATGGATTATTAGAGACAGAATTGGAGATGGAAAGCGTCGGGTTAGAGCAATGGACTGGGCCAAGTTTTGCCCAAGTGTGGCGCACAAAGCCTTTTTTGGGGGCTTTTGCGCCACAGTTGAGGTTGGCGAAATACTTACCCGCTAACCCCGAAATACTTACCCGATAACCCCAAAACACTCACTTTATTAATGGAAGTTCGGCGCCAGGTTATGTCGCAGCCACAAGACATGGCTGGGGAGTCCTTGGTGTTTGCAAAAATAATGCGCATCAACTGAAATCAATTAATAGACTCTAATCCCGTATATCTACAATGGAAGACAAAGTTGCTCCGAAAGAATTGATGGTTCTATGGGTTTCTGTTTTGAGGGCAGTAGGCCACTAAGAAATCGGCCAGGACCCCACCAGAAGCGGCGACGATGCGCCAACTTGAAGACAGACAATTCCGCCATACAACTTCCATCACTTCTCATACTCCCAGTGCAAACCCCATAGGTCCATCCTAGTAGTTAAGCGCAACAAATGCGCATTATTTCTGTTCAGATTGACTAAATATTGGCCGCAGCATGATTATATATCATGGAGATGCGCTGGAACTTGCACCCAGCAGTGTTCCGCCACCATAAGCTTGGAGGAGGTCGATGCACTAATTGAGAACAATTGAATGCGCTCATTTTCATGGTGATTGCCCCGTTATTGGCGATTGATCCATATCCTCTCCTCTATATTAGGTGATCATACAGTGTTACTGAATCACTCTATTGGGTCGATCAGGAAGGGGATGGTCTGAGGAATAATGTGATTGATTTCTGTTCTGGAAGCTCTCGAAATCACACCAAAGGTAGCCCAAAGGATTGCGTATGCATTCCGTAATCTTACCCCCAAAACGTCATAGAAAATCCAATTTTCGGGCAGGCCATCTTTTGCCCCCATTGGACAGCTACCTAACCCCGCAAGGCACAAGTTGTCCGTTGATGCCTAATGGTTTTCTGATTTTCCCACCAGGATCATGATCAGACACCAACAACTCCAACCGCCGTAACAGCAAGACCCTAGAAGCGCCTCGACCGCAAACTCCTCAATGCACCTTCTTAACTTCCCTATAGAGATCCGCCTTCTAATTTATTCCGAGCTCCTCGTCCAAGACAGCCCTGTCGAGCTTGTTTTGAACTATGGTCCCTGCAACCCGCGCCTCTTTCGGTTCGAAGGGCAAGGTCTCAATCCGGCCCTTCTCCGTGTCAACAAGACGGTGAATGAAGAGGCCATAGCGTTCCTCTATTCAAACAACGGCTTTCGGTTTCCTGATGCGTACACCTCTTTCAACACTGATACGGACTCGATATCGGACAACTCGGACGGCTCGGACGGCACGTACGTACCATGCATCGCGCCGTTCCTTCAACAAATTGGGGCCAATGCAGCCCTTTTGCGGCATATCTGCATCAACTTCCCGACCTCGTTCGATTCCGCAAACTGGGAAAATCCTTTCCCGTGCGAGGAATATCTTCAAGTCCTTCAACTTATCCGGGAAACCTGCCCGGGTTTAAGGACAGTCGAGATATCGAGCAAGCCACCCGGCGGTATATTCTCGCTCCGTGCTGTTGACCGGGCTGCAGAGATGCTGAGAGCGCTAGACGACGGCGGCTTTAAGGCTATGCCGTCGCTGGAGAAGATTGTTGTGGTTCGTGAGGAGTACGATATTGACGAGGAGGTTATGGCCCTTCGCGAGAGCATAATGCAGAGGATGCCGAGCTGCAAATGGTCTATCGAGCTTACAAAGGTCCTACCTGATGTTTGGACCTCTTGTGATGACAGGGTTGTGTTTGACAACTATGAGGATTGTTGGAGGTATGACGCAGAGATGTTAAACAGGCAAATGGAGAGGGAGGAGCGGGAGCATTGGGAGGAGGAATGCTACCACCGGAGGAATGACCCATATTGGAAGAATGATTCAGACTACGATTAGTTTTGCTTTGGCGGGCGGGGCCTCACGTCGCCGGGTAGGATGATTACTGGGAACGAGTGCCTGGGACCGCCTGAAATCTTTCGAGGGCGATGGCGAGCGCCTGCCTTGGGGGGTGGCGGGACAGTGGGGTTAGGTGGACCTGGAGAGGTTTATCGTGCGGAACGGACGGAAGACGAGGGAGGTGTTACTGGGCGAGGCGCCTAGGATATTGAGGAGAAGGAGGAAGGGGAGGAAACATGGACTGTTCAATGGAGGTGGTGGGGTTTGCTGTGGGGGGTGGGCGACCTGCTGGCCGGGCTGCAGGTTGAGAAGGGGGAATGAGGAGAATAAGGGGGAATTCTATTTGATTGTGCGGTCGTGGGGTGTCTAAGCGTGTTGACAAGGGAAGATATTGAAGGGGTAGCTGCAGTGGGGGTTCTGATCTTGAGTTGGCACGACTGATGAATGTAGTAGAGGGTGATCTAAAATTAAAAATCACAGCTCTGCTACTTCCAGCACACACGCTGTTGCCATACGCCTATAATGCCTGCTGGCTTGCCAAGTTGATGATGCGTCTGCCAGATCTGCGGACCGCCATGCGGAGGACGAACACCCGATCCAGCAGGAACGGCGACATCAGGTCGGTCGCCAGCGTGGCGTGCCAATAGGCGGGTGTGAGTACTCATATGTTTACGACATTCCATCACCAGTCGCCTCTCCAACCTCCCAGACCAACTCCAGTGATTAAGACAGCTTGAGCTCTGTTCAATAGCGCACAATGTTTCAGGAAGATGACCAGATCTCGGCCCTCAATTACCTCCTGTTGGAAGCAACGCAACAAACCCAGTAATTTTAATTAAGTAATTCGGTGTGTCCCGTCTCTGATCCGTAGAATGTGGGATCATCCTAAACCTGGCAAATACACCAAAATCAAGCTCTGATGGCTGGGTCATTCGGCCAATCGGGGTGATAACTATCCGTGAAAGTGGAACTTATACGTCACCACCCTCCTTTTCACTGGAGGCGCACGTTCCCCCGTAAGTCTCAGTCCGCCTTGTCTCAACATTACTTTGTTCTGGTTGGCTGATGATGGTGATGACTACTTGCTTTGTTAAAAACCGCACTGAAGTCGGGCGCAGCCTGGTGGTGTATAGCCTTGTTTTGCTATTGGGTAAATCTACACTTCTTGCATGGTTCGGCCCCTTACGAGAATTCGCCCGAGGCACCCAACGGCGTCCAACGCCTTTCCTGTTAGTACAAATGTTGGCTCTGCAAGAGATATATTGGCCACAATTCCCGGGTGATAAAGCTCGTGCTCATCACTACGGCGTGCTCTGAGATTAACCTTGAATCTTCGTGCAAAACCTTCAAAGGATTCAGTTCACCGGTATTTATGTGCGACTTGCCTATTACCCATCTGCACTCTATCGTTACTGATTATTCTAGATCCTACACCAACGTCTGGAATCAGCCGCCACCTATAGCCAACGGCAGACAGCCATGAGATTCACCGGAGATCGCACCCCCCGCAACTACTCGTGGCCGGCTTGCAGCGACTGCAACGGGAGCAAAGGCGAATCCATTGAGCGTAATTGTGACTCCTGCGGTGGACATGGCGAGCAGGCTGATGATGATGGGAACTTGGTTTCTTGCAGCGGGCGCTGCCAGAATGGAAAATTCTACGAGTGGGTGAGCTGCTTCAAGTGTGGAGGTCAGGGATTCATGCCGCCCTAATATTGGCTTCCCATACATCGTTCTGGGTGTGTTTTATATATGCCACTAGGTTATTCACTATCTGATGTAATGCAAAGGTATCGGCATTTCCCCAAACTTCTTTGCATTCTCCAGGACCTATCTACCGTCGCCGTTGCTTCCGAAACCAAAACATTTATATGTTTTCAGTGCGCTTTATTTCCTCTCACTATCCTTATCCTTCTCCAGCTAAGGGAGAATACCCTTACCCGTAACCTTTGACTAACGTTTTACTCACCAAACTTTCGATATGAGCATCCAGGTGCAAGCATAAAACCCAAGCATTATGCCCAAAGCATCCATCCTTTTATTCTGAACCTCGTCATCGAACGCTTTGGTTAACTTAGCTGGCTAGATCAGAGACTACACCTGGATCTCTAGCATCAAATGGTTGATATCTTCCCCTCGAGACACGGCCTTAGTAGTCCGACAGATGGGGGCCAATCGGTTGGCTGCGATGACTACTCTGCACCCCCTTCCAGCATCCTCGGTCTGGCATCGCCGGGTCAACATTGGGCCAACGTATGGATTTTCCTTGGAAATCCTACGCGGTTTCTGACGTCGTAGCCCAATTCTGGATATTCTTGACCGAGTCTAACGTTAGGATGGCCTTAAAGATACACGACACATGGGGTTCTAGAAATGGACCGGAGGAAGCTAAATATATGTATGATGGCTTGAAGCAAGGAGCTCTACATATATTAGGATATCCGACCTCTCTTCGAAAGAAGAGAGACCAGCAATTAATTTGCATCGGCAACCAAGGTTGAGATCAATACCAAGAGCGGCATCATGACCAAAGTCGATGTGAAAAGGAGGTCAACATCACTGGCAATGTTGACCCAACTGCGCTGAGACTGAATGCTGTTTATCTATGCGCATATCGGTGACATCTAATAGGCGGAACGGCAAGTAGGCCGCTTGCAACAATGAGTCCAGTTACTCTACAAGCAAGCGTGTTTTGAGGACAAGATAGACACACAACCTTCCCATTAAATTAAGTTAAATGCAGCGCAAACTTTCCATCCAATTTCACCTTTCCCTCAAACGCGCACACGGTGGGTTACTTCCCACCCCCCCATCCTCCAAGATCCAATCCACCCCAACCCTACATCAAACCCTGCGCATCCCGCAGCCAAGCATACACAGCCATAATCCCTCTCAGCGCAGTGATAACCTCCCTCCCATCCCGGCGCGCAAGAGCAAAGCACCGGCGCCGGTCCCATTCGGCGAGGGCTAAGTGAGAATCGCGCAAGACGGGAATGGGGAGTATTTCGGCATCGTGGCGGGGGGGGGGGGGGGGGGGGGGGGGTTGGTTGAGGGGGGTTTTTTTTTGCCCCCGGTGAAAAAACCAACGGTTTTGGGGCGGTTTTTGAATAGGGGGGGTTTTTTTTTTTTTATGAAAGGGAAAT